TTTGAAGGACTGAACGTAAGGAAATTTTGAGTCCTCTCTCTGCTTTTGGCAAAAGCTACTGTGCCATTCAGAGGCCATTTTTTGGGGGGTCCCCCAGTTTGTATTGGGGCCATGCCTTTTGCAGGGTCAAAATTTTCCAGTTTCTGAGAGTGTAGACCAGGAGTGAGTCTGAGAGAGGCTCAATGTACCAGAACCCACTCTTAGCCTACCTGCCATAGAATGGGGGTACTGAGAGTCACCGGCTGACAGAAAGTTGTCCCTTTGGTCCCAGTGATCTCTCCATGCGACTAATGGCACAAAATGGCCAATTGTCCCAACAGTCGCATCCAGAGTGAGATGTGACTCCCAAGAACCATGCGGCTAAGGCGCCATGTGACAGCTAAAGCTAACCCTAACCCTAACCCTAACCCATGTGACAGAACCAAGCGGCTAAGGTACCATGTGACCCAGGCAGACAGACATTCCCGGGAGGAAACTCACCATTTGGTGATTCCCTGAAACTTGGAAGGCACTCTTGGGATGACTCAGAGGCAATGCCTAGGCTCCTGTAAATCAATTCGGACCAAAAGGGGAAGAAGTGAAAGTGACAGGGAAGAAGGCTGAGGAATCCGCCTTACAATCCTATTGGGAAGGTGATGGCCAGGGGACAATGGTCTCTGTTTTGCTTCAACCACTATGAGCCTGACGCAGTACAGGTAAGTTGTCTTGCAGAGTGTGGATGCCCTTGTGGCCTGATCTATTCCATGTTCCCCTTATCCTCACATGGGCGTCTTCATGTGGCAGGTGCCCTAATAGCTTTTAAGTACCTGACCCGTACCCACACAATATTGGTTGGCCTAGTCCTCAGTTAGACAGGAGTATAAAGGAGAGACCTTCACAAATTCAGTTGTCAGTTACCGGGGCACAGTGAGCAGTAGGGCCTTTGGAACACACCAGAGAGTAACCCTGGCCAGAGTTTCTCAGTTGCTTCCATAGCACTTGCCTGTTCACAGAGGGTCGCTATGAGAAAGGAGAAGTGGGGAGGTGGGGGAAGAGACCCCAAGTCCCCATTCAGGCCATCGAAAATGCCATGGTACAAGTGTGGATTGGAAAAGAATTTCCAGAGATGAGGCAGAATTAGAGAATAAAATTTATTAGAGTGGGAGAACCTGTTAGGAGAGTGGGCCAGCTAAAGGGACAACTGATGTTGAACAGGGGTCTTTAGTCCACTTTTATACCCAGGGTCTAAGGAGCAGGATAGGTGTCTTGTGGGTCATTTGCTGATTGAATGAGGCACATATATTTGGTGGGGGAAGAGTAAGGCAAATACCTTCTCCCTTTGTGGGGTAGAAAGAGAGACAGGTTATACTGCTCAGGAGGACCTGAACTCTGTTAATAGTTATAACATGGTGGAGGGAAGGATGATAAGGTTCTGGTTTTTCAGTTCCTGCATTCCAAGACCCTCCTTGGTTTTGTCTGGTGTTTCATCCTTGGGTATCCACATTCCTCCCTCTATTTTTAGGACCAATTCTTTGGCCCCCGTTGGCAAGCATCAGGCATTGGATGTGTTATTTTCTTCCTTCCTGCCATCCACAGGTGGACAGGGTTCTGAGCAAAGGCACTTTAGTTTAACAGTCAGGCATAGAGGGGCAGGATTCTCTGAGGCAAGTCGTTCTGAATGATTATAATAATGAAAGTAATGAAAGCAAGTCAAAGAAACAGTTGCATCATGGAGTCAGAATTGGCTTTCATGGTTTACTTATTATGAGGGGATAGGGGAGTTGGTTTACTTAATGTGAGGACTATCAAATTTGAAATCCACAGGGCAGGGCAAGCTGGCAGATTCATTTCTCTGACTGCTTCACTTTTAGGGTTGGAATAATTTAGAAGTACTTTCAAGAAAATGCAGCAGCCTATAGAATTTTATAATTTTTACATTAGAAAAGAGTTTGAGAGCTTTATTTAAGTAAGAGGCTATCACAGAGCTAATGTTCCTTGGAACCATACTTTGAGAATTAATAGCTTGTGGTCATTTAAACTAAGAGCCTTAACATCCACTGTTTAACTATAAAGTGGGCTTGTCAGGAGGTGCTAGCGGTAAAGAACCCACTTGCGAATTCAGCAGATGTAAGAGACATTGGTTTGATCCCTGGGTTGGGAAGATCCCCTCGGGGAGGTCATGGCAATCCACTCCAGTATTCTTTCCTGGAGAAATCCATGATCAGAGGAACCTGGTGGGCTTCAGTCCATGAGGGCACAAAGAGTTGGTCACAACTGAAGCAACTGATCATAGCACACATACATTTACTATAACTTTCTTTGGTCACACCACTGTTGATTTTACTTCTTTAATCATAAACCTGTAACTGGTCCTCAGCATGAAGTATATGTATCATGATGCTTTGGTCTATATAAATAAGAAAAGAGTGAGTTTGTTTAGCAAAAGTTGCCTTGGATTTGTGAAGTTAAATGACTAAGACTCTAGTTCCAGTTCTGGCGTCTAGTAAATGCGTGACATTGGAGAATATTAAAAGTCTGATAACAATATAAATAACCAAAGCCTTCCTTTACTCATCTATAAAGTAAGAATTAAGGATGTTGATAGCTTTAACATGAAACAATGGGTATTAAGTCATGTGGAAGTATAAACACTGAAATACAGACATAATTATCACAGAATTAAGTACTTTACACAAATTCATTACAGTCATAGAATTTAGAACTTTTTTCCTATGTTGGTTTTCAACTGTTTCTTGAAGTTTATATAAATGCAGAAATTCTCTGGAGTTTCTGTAACAGGTATTGGGTTATTATTTTTTTTTAAAGAATAAACGATCAGATTGTGTTTAACAAAACAAAAAAGAGTACATTGGCTAACTGGGACTATTAATAGACTACAATAAAGTATCACACATTGATTACCTTAAATGACTGAAGTTTATTATATCACTGTTCTGGGGGCAAGAATTGTGATACTAGAGTGTAGCAGGGCTAAGCTTTTTCTGAAGGTGCTGGGGAGGAATCTCTTTCAAGCTTCTCTCCTAGCAGTGGACATTTTGTTAGCAATCTTGGACATTCCTTGTCTGTGGAATCAGACTCCAAACTTTACATGGCATTCTCCTTGTGGCTATGTGGATGTCTAAATTTCCCCCCCTTTTTAAGGTCAACAGTCTCACTGTACTAGGGATGCACTCTACTCCATCTTTACTCATACCTGCCATGACCTTATTTCCAAACAAAGTCACATTCTGAGGTACTGGACGTTAGGGCTTTCAATACATGAATTTAGGAGAGGTGGTGAGGGAGATATAGTTTAACCCATAACTTAGAGTGTATTCAGAAGGAAATGGGAATCAGAGAAATACAACCAGTTTTTATATAATTATTTTGAGAAATTTATGAAAGATAGAAGAGTATACAGGAGGATCTAGAGTTGATAGGAAATTGTATAGTTTTGATTTTTAAGGTGGACGAAATTTTGAACAACATAAGATTCATGGGAAAAAGCTTGTGGAAAGTCTGAGAGAAATAACTGAAGGCTCGAAGTCCAGAGAGCACAGTACAGAATGAATGGAGATAAAGATGGGTTGGTGTTCCCTGTGAAGAAAGGGAAATACTTCTCTTAATAACACAGTGAGAGAGGAGTAATGGAGAGGTAGAGATTTAGATTTGTTATATTTATTATTAAAAAGGTGAGATAATTATCTTCTAATTGAGTATTGTTATTAATAATTTTCAGAGTGGGAACATAGTCATATATTGAGTATAAGGTGGGAGTAGATTTGGAAGTTGAATGAAGGTAGATTTTTTAATGAATGAGAGGATTACTTGATAGTGCTGGTATCCAAGTTGTGATGGGTAATCACACATGTAAAGAGGAACAGTCTGCTCAAATGTATGGATTTGTATAGCATGTTTAACTGCCAGTATGAGAGATGGGTAATTAGATTTATCCATATTTGGAGTTTTTGTTCAAATATATGTGGTATAAGTGCAATGAGGCCAGGGATCTTTACTCACTAGTAAGATAATACTTAAAATTATTAACCACGGTAACCACAAAGAAGAAGGTAGGAAGTAAAGTCAAGAGGGATTGAGGTCAGGAGAAATTGAAAGACGCTAATGAGACTGACACACTGGAGTAGCTGAGCAAGCAAGTGCAGGGCTTTACATTTCTGTTTCCTCTGAATATTCAAATGTGGATGTCACCTGCTACCATCCTTAAAGGGAGGATGCTTGAGTTAGTACTGGATTCAGTCACAACGGAAAAAAATACAGCATACAAATGGTTTAAAGATATAAAATTTATTTCTTACTGGGAGTAATTCAGAAAGTGAGCATATAGTAGTTTCATAAAGTGTCAAAACTCTAGATTTATTCTATTAATATCTTCTTTTCTGTCTGTATCATATTACATGATCAGAGGTGTTCTTAGAGATCCATCCATCATGCCTCATTCCGTCCAACCAAATAGTTAGAGAAAAGAAGAAAATCACATAGTTTCCGTTAAGAACACATTCCAGAGATCATACTGAATATTGTTGTTTAGTTGACAAGTCGCGTCCAACTTTTTGGAACCCCACAGACTACAGCACACCAGGCTTCCTTGTCCCTCACCATCTGCCAGAGTTTGCACAAGTTCATGTCCATTGAATCGGTGATGCCATCCAACCACCTCATCCTCTGTCAACCTCTTCTTCTGCCCTCAATCTTTCCCAGGATCAGGGTCTTTTCCAAAAAGAGTCTTACAGGATAATTCATCTTAAAATGCACTGGTCATAATGGGATGGGAGGAAATCTAATCTTTGTACTATGCTGTCATAGGCAGAGTGATAAGAAGAGGGACCTATAACTTAGAAAGAAGGGAGAAATAATATGGGAGACAACCATCAGCCTGTGTATCAGAGCTTCAACTTAGAATAAATCAGTAAAGGAGGAAAAAAAGTATAAATTTGTGTCTAGTGGGGAGAAGTGTAATCATCGTGGAAGGTTAGGCATATGAATTACAGCATCATTGTGTTCTACTCCATCTGTACAGTGATCAGAGGGCCTGAGTCAGAGGACCAAAGTCTAAAAAGTGGTCTTAGGACACCATAAAATTTTTGTTTGGAAAAGGTGAATATGTGGGATTCATCTGTCATGTTATAGAAAGATACATCTCCAGCCTCATAATCCAGGAATACTCCCACCCTACAGGGTTTTTCTTTTAGAGTAAGAGAAGTTTCTGGGGATGTGAGGCCCCAGTACTCCCTGTCATAGAGCCTAATGGCCCAGAAGCCATTCTGTGGTGAGATTGTGATCCTCCCATCCCTTGCTACATTATTCCTACAAACTCCCAGGTCCCAGGAATGTGTGTTCTGAACCTCCACCTCCCAGAAGTATCTCCTTGAGCTGACGTGCAGCTGACCAAGCACACAGGGAAGGGAGACAAATCTCTCTGAGCAGCTGGGAAGATCCTGACATGGTTCTTGCCAGGTAACTCTTCTCCCCTCTTCAGACAGGAAGAGGGCAGGATGGGCAGTGGCTGCATCCAGAGTCAGATTTACTGCAAAGACAAGAGATCATCAGATTTCTGGGAGGGTCTCGGGAGGCTTAGGCCAGAGTCTCCCTTCTGTGAGGGCTCCTCTGGCCCTGGGAACATCCAGTTCACCTCCCCACCGCTACCCCCCACCCCCCACCTCCATCTTCCCTGGGACTACCCCACAAGGAGCTGGGTCTCTCTTGAATCGTTACAGACTCACCCGTCTTGAACTCTTCTTTCCTCCAGTCTGCAAAAATCAAATGAACATAAGAATCCACCATCTGACAGATAGAGCTTCCTGTCTGTTCAGAATACTATGGTAATAAACTTCTTAATCGAAGAATAACAGCACCCAAAAAAGATAGGAAAAACCAACCTCTTTTTATATACTTGAACCTCTTTTTACAAGATGTTAAACTATGTATGACTTCAAACCTGTGCCAATGCTATGCTCTCCTCATTCAAAATTCATAGAGGAAAAATATTTGTAATCTATTTAGGATGTCTGAAAGGAAATACAGGATATGATGGGTCTGAACAAATAACTTATTTTTCACTATAGATTCTTCAGATTTTAGTAGATGATAACCATTTTACCTTCACTCAAAACACAATGTTATATGCAACTAAAAATAATAAAACTATTAAAATGTAATGTTTTGAACCCATTATTATATGTTAGAATAATGAGTAATCTACTGAATTCATGGAATAAAGCCTTGGAGTTTCCTTGATTTTCAGCAAACCATTTTGCACACAGTAGGTGTTCTTTTAAAATATCTTTGATAATAGAATTTTCTTCATCAGAGTCCATGCTGCTCACCAGGATATAATGGTATTTCCCTCCATACTGCAAAAGAACAAAATAGAAAAAACTTAATTTTTATTCTTGCATGTCTTCTTTCATTGTCTTTTTTGTTATATTAAAAGCAAATATAAAAAATAATTGTCTTTGTTCTATTTCTTCTACTGAATCTTTTGAACTTTCTCTTTTTATCCTATATCCTCATATTCCAATTTTTAAACATGGTGATAAAATTATCAGGTGAAGGGTAGATAGAAATATAGAAAAAACAAAGGTGGCAGGGATAGAAGCATGAAGGAAGGAGCATAGACAGAAGGAAGGAACAAACAAACAAAAGGGGAGAGGAAGAATTACATGCTGAGTCATTAGTTGCTTCACTTCAGACAGAATTTAATGAAAGCATTGATATTTATAAAGATAATGCTTCCAGGGCTATTTTGCTTATCCTAAGCATTTTTTAAAAAATATTTTTGCATTCTATCCCGCTAGGGTAAGGGCAGAACCTAAGACAAACAGAACAGTAAAGGTGTCTAAGAGAAAATCATTACTCACCAGACTTGAATTGAGCCTTCTTCCTTTCTGAAAGAAAATACAAAATCATGCACGTATATATAAACAGATGTTCTTAACATCATAAAGAAGATGTGAGTAACACCATACACCTGTCAATATTTGTGTCTGAAACTTGCTAAGTAATGTCCATTTCAAAAGCAAAGAAAGAAATGTGTAAAGTTCATTCCATCTAGAAACTTCATTATAATTTGAAGAATATAATCAGATATGAAAGGACATGAAGATTTAATAATTCTTATAGTGGGATACTAAAAATAATGTAGAATTGCTTTAGAAAATAGCCATAGAATTTACATATAAATTATCAATGAAGTTTGTTTGAGTGACTGAAAAATGTATGTTCAAGACCCTGAAGGAAGAAAAATTTGTTGAATTAGCTATTAAGTAGTTAAAATAAAAATGAATAAACAGTAATAAGTTTGCTTGGAAAGAAAAAATGATGCAAATTCATGTAAAAACATTTATATACTTTAGATCACTAGAGATTATGGTCAAGCAAAGTGTATCAGGATTACCTGATATTAGTATATGCAAAGTGTTTGAAAGGTCAACAAAGGAGGAATTTACTCAGCAGCTTTTATTAAGAATAAAACTATTTTTAATTTGAAAGAATGTAATATATAAAAAATGGGCACTCCATCTCAGAACACCTGAGAAAAAACTGAAGTTAAAAGAAGCTTCCTATTGAATGGAAATAACCACATTCTTCTTAGCCTAATTCCTTTGATCTCACCAATTTTTTTTTCTGCCAACCTTATAATGAAGTCATGGTAATCACCAGGAAGATAAAATGGAAAGGAAAGAATAAAAGCTCAGTTCAGTTCAGTTCAGCCACTCAGTCGTGTCCGACTCTTTGTGACCCCATGAGTCGCAGCACGCCAGGCCTCCCTGTCCATCACCAACTGCCAGCTTCCACCCAAACCCATGTCCATCCAGTCGGTGATGCCATCCAGTCATCTCATCCTCTGTCGTCCCCTTCTCCTGGCCCCAATCCTTCTCAGCATTAGGATCTTTTCCAGTGAGTCAACTCTTCGCATGAGGTGGCCAAAGTACTGGAGTTTCAGCTTCAACATCAGTCCTTCCAATGAATAGTCAGGACTGATCTCCTTTAGGATGGACTGGTTGGATATTCTTGCAGTCCAAGGGACTCTCAAGAGTCTTCTTCAACACACAGTTCAAAAGCATCAATTCTTCAGCACTCAACCTTCTTTACAGTCCAACTCTCACATCCATACATGACTACTGGAAAAACAATAGCCTTGACTAGACAGACCTTTGTTGTCAAAGTAATGTCTCTGCTTTTAAATATGCTATCCAGGGTGGTCATAACTTTCCTTCCATGGTAATCACCAGGAAGATGAAATAAAAAGGAAAGAATAAAAGCTAGAGGAGGGAATTAAGATACTTAATATAGGAGGAGTTCATGAAGCCAAAAAGAAAATGGATAAGGTAATTAGAAATTAAAAAGAAGGCAAAGGAAAGCGGCAGGATGTAAGAAGTGAATGTCATAAGAGGAAAAATATATCTAGGACATAAATCTTTTTAAAAAAGTCCTAAAACTTACCAATATCCTTCTTGAGTTGTTTTGAAAAATGAAATGGAAAAACTCATGTAAATTTCAAGGAAAACCAAAACAGAATATAAAATAAGAGGATAAAATGTATCTAGGAAATAAATCAATTTTAAACAGTCATAAAACTTACCATTTACTTTTGTGAGTTGTTCTGAAAAAAATAATGGAATAACTTAGGTCAATTTCAAGGAAAATCAATATAGAAAATAAAATAAAAGGACCAATATACTAGGAAATAAATCTTTTTTAAACAGTCATAAAATTTACCATTTTCTTTCGTGAGCTGTTGTGAAAAATATAATGGAAACACTCATGCAAATTTCAATGAAAACCAATATAGAAAATAAAATCAGAATGAGAAAAATATATCCGGGAGAGAAATCTTTTTTAAAAAGTCATAAAACTTACCAATTTCCTTCTTGAGTTGTTCTGAAAAGTAAAATGGAAAAATTCATGTCAATTTCAAGGAAAAACAATATACAAAATAAAATAAGAAGAAAAATATATCTAAGAGAGAAATTTTTTTAAAAAAGTCATAAAAGATACCATTTTCTTTTGTGAATTGTTCTGAAAAATATAATTGAAAAACTCATGTCAATTTCAAGGAAAACCAATATAGAAAAGAGTATAAGAGGAAAAATATATCTAGGAAAAAATCTTTTAAAAAAAGTCATAAAACTTACCCTTTTCTTTCCTGAGTTTTTCTGAAAAATATAATGGAAAAACATGTGAATTTCAAGAAAAACAAATATAGAAAATAAAATAAGATGATAAATATATCCAGGAAACAAATCTTTTTTAAAAAGTCATAAAACTTACCATTTGCTTTCATGAGTTGTTCTGAAAAATATAGTGAAAAAACTCATGTCAATTTCAAAGAAAATCAATACAGAAAATAAAATAAATGAAAAATATATCTAGGAAATAAATCTTTTTAAAAAACTCATAAAACTTACCAATTTCTTTTGTGAGTTGTTCTAGAAAATATAATGGAAAACTCATGTAAATTTCAAGGAAAACCAATATAGAAAATAAAATAAGAGGAAAAATATATCTAGGAAAGAACTCTTTTTAAAAAGGTCATAAAACTTACCATTTTCTTTCGTGAGTTGTTCTGAATAATATAATGGAAAAATTCATGTAAATTTCAAGGAAAACCAATACAGAATGTGAGGTAAGAGGAAAAAATATGTCTAGAAATCAAATCTCTCTCAAAATGTCATAAAACCTACCCTTTTCTTTCCTGAGTTGTTCTGAAAAATAAAATGAAAAACTCATGTCAATTTCAAGGAAAACCAATACAGAAAATAAAATAAGAGGAAAAGTATATCTAGAAAATAAATCTTTTAAAAAAAGTCCTAAAACTTACCCTTTTCTTTGCTGAGTTGTTCTGAGAAATATAATGGAAAAATTCATGTCAGTTTCAAAGAAAACTAAACAGAAAATAAGATAAGAGGAAAATATATCTGGGAAATAAATCTTTTTTAAAAAGTCATACAATTTACCATTTTCTTTCTTGAGTTGACCTGAAAAATATAATGGAGAAACTCAAGTCAATTTCAAGGAAAACCAATACAGAAAATAAAATAAGATGAAAATATATCTAGGAGATAAATCTTTTTACAAAATTCATAAAACTCACCATTATCTTTCTTTAGTTGTTCTGAAAAATATAATGGAAAAACTCACATCAATTTCAAAGAAAACCAATACAGAAAATAAAATAAGTGAAAAATATATCTAGGAAATAAATCTTTTTATAAAATTCATAAAACTCACCATTTTCTTTCTTTAATTGTTCTGAAAAATATAATGGAAAAACTCATGTCAATTTCAAGGAAAACCAATACAGAAAATAAAATAAGTGAAAAATATATCTAGGGAATAAATCTTTTTATAAAATTCATAAAACTCACCATTTTCTTTCTTTAGTTGTTCTGAAAAATATAATGGAAAAACACACGTCAATTTCAAGGAAAACCAATACAGAAAATAAAATAAGAGGAAAAATATATCTAGGAAAGAAATTTTTTAAAAAAGTCAAAAAACTTACCATTTTCGTTCGTGAGTTGTTCTGAAAAATGTAATGAAAAATTCGTGTAAATTTCAAGGAAACCAATATAGAAAATAAAATAAGAGGAAAAAAACATCTAGGAAAGAAATCTTTTTCAAAAAGTAATAATATAAGTTACCCTTTTCTTTCCTGAGTTGTTCTGAAAAATATAATGGAAAAACTCATGTTAATTTCAAGGAAAACCAATACAGAATGTAAAATAAGAGGAAAAAATATGTCTAGAAATTAAATTTTTTTAAAAGACTCATAAAACTTACCAATTTCTATCTTGAGTTGCTCTGAATAATAAAATGGAAAACTCATGTCAATTTCAAGGAAAACCAATACAGAAAATAAAATAAGAGGAAAAATACATCTAGGAAAGAAATCTTTTTTAAAAGTCATAAAACTCACCATTTTCTTTCCTGAGTTGTTCTGAAAAATATAATGGAAAAACTCATGTCAATTTCAAGGAAAACCAATGCAGAAAATAAAATAAGAAGAAAAATATATCTAGGAAATAAATCTTTTAAAAAAAGTCATAAAACTTACCAATTTCTATCTTGAGTTGCTCTGAAAAATAAAATGGAAAAACTCATGTTAATTTCAAGGAAAACCAATACAGAAAATAAAATAAGAGGAAAAATATATCTAGGAAATAAACCTTTTAAAAAAGTCATAAAACTTACCATTTTCTTTCGTGAGTTTTTCTGAAAAATATAATGGAAAAACTCATGTCAATTTCAAAGAAAACCAATACAGAAAATAAAATAAGAGAAAAAATATATCTAGGAAATAAATCTTTTAAAAAAGCCATAAAACTCACCATTTCCTTCCAGGAGTTTTTCTGAAAAATATAATGGGGACACTCAAGTCAATTTCAAGGAAAACCAATACAGAAAATAAAATCAGAGGAAAAATATATCTAGGAAATAAATCTTTTAAAAAGGTCATAAAACTTACCATTTTCTTTCGTGAGTTTTTCTGAAAAATATAATGGAAAAACTCATGTCAATTTCAGGAAAACCAATACAGAAAATAAAATAAGAGGAAAAAAACATCTAGGAAAGAAATCTTTTTTAAAAAGTCATAAAACTCACCATTTTCTTTTGTGAGTTGTTCTGAAAAATATAGTGGAAAAACTCATGTCAATTTCAAAGAACACCAATACAGAAAATAAAATCAGAGGAAAAGTATATCTAGGAAATAAATCTTTTAAAAAAGTCATAAAACTTACCATTTTCTTTTGTGAGTTTTTCTGAAAAATATAGTGGAAAAACTCATGTCAATTTCAAGGAAAACCAATACAGAAAATAAAATAAGAGGAAAAATATATCTAGGAAATAAATCTTTAAAAAAAGTCATAAAACTCACCATTTC